ATAGATAGATAGATAGATAGATAGATGAGAGATAGATAGATAGATGATAGATAGATAGATGATAGATAGATAGATGATGATAGATAGATAGATGATAGAAGGAAAGATGACAAAACACAGCCAAGCATGTGGTGCCAGCACTTGGGGGGCTGCAGCAATGGATCCTGCGTTTGAGACTAATAGCTAGCTTTATAACACGGCAAGACCCTGTCTCAAGAATTAAAAAAAAAAAAAAACTACAGAATGCATTTCTTACCACATGTCGTGCATCCTGAGCCTACAAAAAATGTTTCCACCAGACATGATGGTGCACATCTGTAATCCCAGCATTTGGCAGGCTGAGGCAGAAGGACTGCCTCAAGTTCAAGACTAGCTTTGGCTACATAATGGGTTCCTGGCCAGCCTTGGCTATAGACCTTGGCTAAGACCCTGTCTCAAACAAAACAAAAAAGTGTTCGGTTCTCAGGAGACAGTCCCCAGTGCTGGATGTCCTGTAACTCTCTTGTTGCCTTTTCTCATTTCAGGTAACTCAGTACTTACTGGACCAATCTTTTGTAATGGATGAAGAAAGTCTCTATGAGTCTTCTCTCCGAATAGAACCAAAACTCCCCACCTGAAGCTGAAGCCAGCGCAGCCCCAGCCGCTCCTGTGGACACCTGCTATATGATATTGTACATATTCGTTTGGTTCCTCTGGGTTTTCTTCTTCAGTATGTGCTCCTCCAAGAATACAAATCCATTCTTGTTCTTAGATTCCCGTAGAACCGGAATACGAACTTCTGCACCAGCTCAGACTCTGCCCGCCCCCACCCCCTGCAGAGCCTGTTTCTTCAAACAGCTGTACTCCCTGTCAGCCCTCGCAGGCCCTAAATCCAATCCAGAGAGGAGACAGAACCCACGTGTCCCAAGTCCCAACCTCCAGTCCCGCTTCGTCCGTCCCAGCCCAGGCCTCTGGGTCGGCTCCGCCACCCAGGCATCCTCCCAGCATGTTCCATGTAGTTGTTATAACTGGGTAGGGGGAGGAGGGAGGGGGGAGGGGGAAGCCACACCCGCAAGTCAGGTCATTGACACCTCTTCCCGCTGATGGTGATGCCAATTTCCAAAGCAGCTTCTTCAGCCAAAATCGCAGGTCTCAAAACTCCCCGTTTGTCTCCCAGTAAACCTGGCTGGAAGGGAGTCCTGTCAGCTGAGAACCATGCCCCTTGCACCAATGTCGCCACTTCCAGCACCATGCTGCTCCCTGCTCTAAGATTAATACCAGATAGCATGAAAAGCAGGCTCAGTAGGAGTGGACACGGCCCTAGAACTTCTCAAGGAAAATGGAGTCACAACACCAAGTCAGGGCGACCTTGACCTACCGCTGCCCAGCATCTACTTGGGGGGGGGGGGCGGCGGGAACAATGTCATTTCTCTTTCAGCCGCCTAACAGTCACTACAAGCTTATACTGAGATGCTCTAAGTCTGTATACCTTGTGATAATTAGTCCCACGATGTAGAATTAGGAAATTAATAACCAAGTGTTTTTATTGCATATACTGTAGTCCTGTCTAAATGCCTTCTAGCAGGAATATAGTAACGTAGTGCTTATTCTGTGAATACTACCACGAATTTTTTACATTGTACAGTAGAGAGAACACAGGTTCACTCAGAAGTGGCAGGCATGCTCCACTACAACAGACAGACACTTTTGCTGTAAGCAATACCTAGTGGTATGAGAATTCTATTTCAAGTCCTAAAATATTTCAACTTACAGCTTGTTTGGAAAAAAGAAAATTTCCATTTTTTGTAAAACTATATGTTTCCTGATTACCTCTTGCTAATAAATCTATTCTATCTCAGGGTGAACAGTGAGTTTTGATGGGTTTCATTCACTCACCCAAGGAGTACTAGATGAACGCTTGCTTGTTCCTGACCAGGCCCTGGGCTGGAACCAGAAATCCAGAGTGAGAGGGTCACACCCTCCCTGCTTTGGGAACCAGTAGTAGTCTGACCAGGTTGACTGTTCCTTTACTTATTGTACCAAAAACAGACCATATCTGCCAGAGCTACATAGTGAGACCCTGTCTCAATAACAACCACCCAAAAAAGCCATAAAGAAAGAAAAAAACAATGGGTTAAACCATTTGCTTTACTTTCTACAATTCTAAGTTGACTGGGCCCCACCAGCAGCTCTTGCTTGAGAACTCTTATGAAGTATAGCCAGTCATGTAGCCAGGGCTACCATCATCTGAAAGCACCACTGAACCAGGTATCCAAAATGGTGGCCTCACACAGCCGGAAGTTGATGTTTGCCAGGGGCTGCTTGGAGTTGTCAACAGGATCATCCACACATGTGGCCTCCTCATGTGACCTGGGCTTCTCAAGATGTGGCAGCTGTGTCCCAAGAGTAACCACTCCATCTCAAGAAGAAACTGCAAGGCTTCTTACAAGCCAGACTCAGAAGCTTCAAACTGTCACACAACATTCTGTATCACCAGAATGAAGGTCAAGCACCAGGAAGAGGTATAGGTACTTCTCAATGGGAAGAGAAGAAAAAAAATGTATAGCCATTTTTAAGTGACTAAAGAGACAGTATTTAAGCCATGCTGTCAGGGACCGGTACAGAAAATACCTTGTGAACACCAAGGAGGAACAGCCAGTGTGCTGGGATAAAGCTGAGGAGCGTGATAAAGCTCCACAGAGACGTGAGGATGTAGAGTGAGGAAAGAAGACTCGGCAGGCAGAGAGGGTGGAAAGGGACCTTGCAGAAGGACCTGCTTATGCCAGAGAGAATTTACATGTTTGAGAAATGCTAGCATGAGTGCGCAGGGTGTTCAGGTTACTGGAAAATAGATGGAGGTAGACTAGAGGAAATCAAGCCATAGGAAGCCTGGAGGGAGGTAGGCAACACGGCTCAGTGGGCAAAGGTATTTGCCACCAAGACTGACAACCTGAGTTCCATCCCTAGGACCCACATGGTAGAAGGAGAGAACTGACTCCTGCAAGTTGTCCTCTGAACTCCGCATACACGCTGTGACATATGCACATGTGTGCATGCTTACAAGCACACACACACACCAAATAAATAAATAATAATATTAATTAATTAATTAATTGATTAATTAATTAGAAACCCAGGGGAAAGGCTTCCCAAAGAGGGGGGCACCCAAGGCTGGGGAGATGCGAAGTGTCTGCAGATATAGCTCCCCATAAAACCCCCCAGGAACGACAGAGGAAGATGAACAGAGATCACCAAGTGGGAAAGACCTGAATGCTACCCCCTAGAGAAGGCAGGCTGTTACCACATGATCCCTTCATTGAGAGTTCTGGCCCACCAGCCATCTCAGAAGTCTTCTCACTATCGCCCATGACCACTGCCATCAGTCACAGATAAGAAGCCTACTACAAGATGTGATCCACTTCTGGTGCTTTCTGAGGCTGCTTTTCCTGGGACCTGCAGCCAGCTTCCTCTGTAACTGCTCTCCTCTTCCCGCCATGCAGTGTTCCTCCTCACTCCCATTCATGCTGGGACTAAAGGAAAGGCAGAGTGGAGAGAGAGGGGTCTCCAAGGGATAAGACCTAGAGTTAACTGCCAGCTTCACCACCAGGATAGTTCATCTTCATTGTCAACTTGACTGGACTTGGAATCGCCTAGAAGACACACATCAGGGGGAGGTGTTTCCAGAGGTCTAAGTGAAGAGGAAAGATGTGACCCTGCATGTGGGTGGCTGAATGCCAGTGACGTAGCTAAGTGGAATATTTAAGGAAGACATGGATTTTAATCCTTGTTTTCTCCCTCTGTCTCTGTCAGCAACTCTTAGCTGACAAGTTTGTGGTTGGGACTCTAACACAGCTAACTAGAAACAATGGCCTTGGGTCCTGATGAAACTTCTTCTATTCTGTTTGTCTCAGATGGAGACTTCTGCAATGATTTTCAGACAGAGGATTTTTTTTAACATTTGTTTTCTTTCTAAATTTATAATAATTTGCCTAATTTTGAGGCTGTGGGTTAGTTTCCTTCCCACTGTAACCCAATGCCTAAGATATAAAAGGTATGTGCTATTTCCCCTTGGGGCTCAGAACTTTGAGACAGGAGTCTCTCTCTGGAACAAGGCTGCAGCCTAGATAAAATACCTGCTTCCTGTATGTTCTGCGTGTCCTTCCTGATCTTTCCTGAAACACCAGGACTAAACACAAAGGAGGAAAGGAGGAAGCCAGCTGAGCCCCAGCCTTCATCTATCTCTGCTTCCTGACTGGACTGATGTGACCAGCTGCCTCACACCTCTGCCACCATGCCTTCCCTGCCCCAATGGGCTGTATCTCCTGAGCTATGAGTCAAAATAAACCATTCCTCCCTTAAATTGCTTTCTGTCAGGGATTTGTCACAGCAACAAGAAAAGTCACTAATACAAGACTTGCTGGATAGATGAGCTCTCAGAATCTCAATGTCTTCATCTGAAAACCTGAGGGTGAAAAGGGGATCGCCTTACTAGAAGAATTAAATGAGCTAACAACAAACCAAGCAACACTGATATGAAAACCCCAAATCAAAAACTCCCCAAAATGGGGCTGGAAAGATGACTCAGTTGTTAAGAACAATGGCTGTTCTTGCAGAGAACCTGGCTTCTGTTCTCAACACCCACATAGCAGCCAACAACCATTCTAACTCCAGTTCCAGTGGATCTGACGCTCTCTTCTGCCTTCTGTGGGCTTTGTATGCACATGGTATACTTACATACATGCAGGCAAAACACTCACACACATAAAATAAAATAAGTAAATCTTTAAAAAATAAAATGCTCCAAAGTCCAAAACGTCTTGGTTGCCAGCTGATTCCATGAGTAGAAAATTCCATATTTGATCTCATGAGATGGGTCCCAGTCAAAAGCCTACAAGCTATGCACATAAGGTACATATGAAATCAAAACAAATTTCATGTTTAGACTTGGGTTTCATCCCCAAGACTCTCATTAAGTATATGCAAATTTTTCAAAATACAGAAAATATTCAACATGAAACACTTCTGGTCTCAAGTACTTCAGATAAGGGAGACTCGTTGTAAAGTACTTTACACAGGTGTGGTGAGCCAGGTGTGGTGGGGTTCACCTATAATCTCAACACTCAGGAGACTGAGGCAGGAGGACAGAATAGTCAAGCCTGGGCAGAAGAAGGAGAAGGAGAAGGGGGGAGGGGAGGAAAAAAAAGAAGAAGAAGAGAAAGAGAGGAGGAGGAAGAGAAGGGAGAGGAAGAAGGGGAAGGGGGAGAAGGAGGAGGAGGAAGAGACAGGATTAAGGAGATACTCGGTCAGTAAAGTAGTTGCTACGCAAGCATGAGGACCTGAGTTCAATCTCAGAACCTATGTAGATGCCAGGCACAGAAACACATTCCTATGATGCCAATGCCTGGGAGGCAGAGACAGAGGCAGATCCCTGGGGCTTGCTGACCAGCCAGTCTAACCAAATTAGTGAACCCTAAGCAAGTGAGAGACCCTGCCTCAAAACACAAAGCAGACAGCACCCAAAGAATGACACCTGAGGTTGACCTCTGGTTTCCACACCTATGTGTGAGCCTACACCCACCTGCCCCCAATACATACACACACACACACACACACACACACACACACACACACAAAATAAATATAGTGGAAAAAAAAAGCTGGATGGTCTTTTCTTATAAAAGGGGAAGAGCAGATAGAACAATAGGAAAAACAGTTGCTTCATTAGTATCAGGTGACTTGGGGTGTGAGGATTAAGACAAAGGGAACTTCATTACACTGTAACCAGTCTATAAGAATTTGGTTTTCATCTCTCCTTTCTCCTGTACTTTTTGTTGTTGTTGTTTTGCAGGTGAAATAAATAACTTAGTTTGGGTTTTGTGATATGAAACCTGAATGTGAGTGACTCTAATTTGGTTTGCAGTCTAGTCTGTTGGGACCCAGGGAGAACCTAAACAATGGCCTCCTGTAACTTTTATTCAATGGTCTGTTATAAGACGGCAGGAAGGGAGAGCAACTCAACACTTTAAAGTAGCAATTATCAAGGGGTGGGTGGGATTCAGAGACAATTTTAATTGTCACAGTCGGAGAAGGGAGCTATGGCATTTATTAGACCAGGATGAAGCTCAGCATCCTATAGAGCACAGGATGGCCCCACTACAGTGAATTCCCTGCCTCCAAACAGGCTGAGATTGAGAACCTCTGCTCTAGAGCCAGACTGCTCAAGTTCAAATCCAAGCTTCACTACATAGCCGGTATGACCTCAGGCAAGTTACAGAACCACCCTATGCCTCAGTTTCTCCATTTGTAAAATGAAGATAGGGATGGTACCTGCCTGGTAATATTATCGAACTTGGAATCACTCTCTGTATCCCCAGAAGTCAAGTTTGGTCACCTGCCCCCAAGAAGCCAATTAAAACAGCCAAATTAATAGTAAAAGGAAGAAAAAGGAGATTTATTCAGTGTGGCCACATCGAGAAGATACACAGAGATTGAGCGCCCCCCCCCCAAGTCCATCTTTTAGGTCCTCAAGTGAGATTAAAGTTTAAATAGAAGGCTAGGGATATGCACTTCTAAGCCGTCCAGGTATGGCCCTGCCCATCACTGACCCATCATTGTCTGGGCTTCAGTTTGATCTGGCAAGGTGGTCTGCCAAGTTGTAAATCTCTTTCTGTGAGAGAAGCTCCCTCACTGGCTAGTGGGATCCCTGGGGAAATTCCCATTTCTTGATGTCCATTATTTCATTAATCTGATAGCCAGATTGAGGGACACAAGAGTCTCTTTAGATTATCTTCACGTCTGCCAGGGCAGTTGCAGTAAGCTGCTGAGAAGAATGAACCAACTGTTAAAGCTCAGGTGATTGCAC